CCCCCCGTTTCCCCCCCACCCGCCACGGAGAGGCCGTGTCATGGCTGACGGCAGGGCAGCTCCTCCACTGGCACACGCTTTAAGCCCCGTAGCGCCCAAACCCCATGAGTAGCACCTCACTCTGGGGAGGACTCAGACCAGGACCACCAGGCAAGCCCTGCCAGGAAGCGAGACTTGCACCGCACACACTGCCACCGCAGTCCCAAAGCATGGAAAACCCCGAGCAGACACACTGGAGCCGAGCCCAGCCCTGAAACAAGCTGCAATAAAATAACACACACCAGCCCCAAAGCACGTGTGCCAGCTGGGAGTGCAGGACCAAAAACGCACCCCGTTACACTGCCCGGGCAGCAAGCGATGCAGCAGAGAGCATCCCAGAGAGCATCCCCATGCAGGGCTGGCTCACCCCGCAGCGGGGCCACGCCAGTGAGACAGCACCACAAGCTTGCGTTCGTTCTCCATGCACACACACAAACATATAACACGAAACCTGCTGTCAGAAACAAAGCCGGTGAAGCAATCGCACAAGCGCCAAATCCGCCCCGGTCCCTTTCATGCCACGCCAGGAAGGATGTTTGCTCACAGTTTCACCTCGAAAGTGGCCACCCTGAGACAGTCGCCACGCTGAGACAGTCGCAGCGGCTGGGGGGGGGCCCGCCTGTCTCGCCACAGTCAACACTCATGCACTCCAACTTCAAAAGAGCCTTTCACCAAAAAGCCATCGGTTTGTCCCGCAAATGCTCGAGTTCCATTTGCTCGCGGCTAAAGAGGTGGCAAGGGGCCATGGCAGTCATCCCCCGAGGCTGTGGGCTTCCCGGTCCCACAGCGCAGCCAGAAACCTGGGTTAGGGATGGGAGATCATGCTTTGAGAAAAAAAACATCACTTTTGATAGCACAAAGCAGGAGGACTGGAGTGGAAAAACTAACCTTAAAAGGCAAAGACTGGACAGACCATTAAGGACCAGCTCTCCACTCATGCGGGCAGCATGTCCAGAGCACTGACGGACACCGAGTCAGCTCGGCTACAAATCGGTGGCCCTTGCAGAAACAGCCGAAGCCAGGGTTTAAAGTACGCCAGTGAGCACAGAGGTGCACATCTGGCACCCAGAGACTCGCTTACTGTCCCCCACTCCTGCATCACCAACACCCCAGCGGGCTCACATCACCGCTAGTGCTCCCCATCACTGCCCAACGTAGCGGGAGGGGCTCCGCACAGCTACTGGGGTCCCAGGCAGGTCTGCATCCCCAGGGCTAGGGAAAGCATTGTTTTCCTTGCAGAGAAGCTGCTCTCAAGCAGTGGGACGAGGCTGGAAACTGCTCCAAGAGCTTTATGATCTTGCTGAAGAGGAGAGCTTTGCAAGGGAGTCTAGAAGAGAGAAGCAATGGGAATGAAAACCCTCATAAAACCAACACATGAAAGGAGATATGGCATCTAATGGGTCTTTACCTGCAATCTCCAAGTCACTTGCTGCTCTCAGTGATATCAAACTGACCGAGAAGTAACCGGCTCCATTTTCAAACGTGAGAGCTGCAGAGCCGTCAGTAATTAGCAGAAGGGAGATTATCGGGGAGAAGAAAGCCTGCAAGCCACAGGAGAGGCAGCCTCACCTTACAGCTGGTGTATTTTTAGGTTCATCTGCTTGGGAAAAGCCTTGCAACAAGGAGGAGAGACTGGTGATGGTACCGAGTTTGGAGCTGCACTACACACGCAATCATCTGCAACGGGGCTAAACTTTAACTCCCTCCTTCACTGCACATAGTCATTACAATTTGGCGGGAGTTGCTACCAAGCGAGTTAAATCATTATAAATCTTATCCCTGGCTCGAACCACACCCTGATGAAATCAACGGCAAGCTCTGAAGCTGCCCTGTTCTCATC